CAAGGAGGGACCCTGTGAATTACGAAAAGTAAAGAGTGCAAAACATAAATACAATTAAATACATTATGCTGGTCAATGGTATCCTGATTTGGCGTCACAACGCCTCCCTCCTCCCTCCACTGTCATCCGCCGGGACACCACCACGGGCAAGTCGGTCGCCTTGGTTGCGGCACCGTGAATGGTATATATTATATATATAATTGCACGATCATGTTGATTCCGGCATCGGCCCAACAAAATGATTCGACGATGGAAGTTGTAGGTTGAGCCACCATGAAGGCTTGCGGCTTGACAAACATTTTGCCAATAAATGATAATACATGATGTCAACACCCTGAAGGGGAACTCAAGGGGTGTGTTTTGTTGTCACATTCCAAAAAGACACGGGTCTTTGTGTGCGTGTGTGTCAGGTCATGGGGGAACTACTAGAGTACGCCGTTCTCATCTATATAGTTTTGTCTACGGAGTCTACCGATTCGTCTGCATTTGTGAAATGGGTCTTGTCTTCCTCACAGTTGCTTAACCCAAGACATGACAGTGTTCTACGGTTTTCTTCGGGGCGTTGGACAACCCTGAGATTTAAAAACAGTGAACATTGGTGGCAACCTTTACCATTCAGACTGGTGCATACTTCGGAATCAGGAGGGAATGCCTTCTACTATACACAGTAGGTTCACAAGCATCCATTCAATTGTTCTTCCTAGACCTTCCAACGGCTAAAATATTCTAGTACGATGGGGTTGTTGTATTAGTTTCTGATGCTTCGATGGAAAAAATGGTAGTTGTCAGAAACGACTGATTTTTGCTTAACGGTGTGATTTGGGTACGCTCCACAGATTTTGATCCGAGTAGCCATCACCGGCTATCACACATCTATATTTAGGGGATGACTTCCGTATTTATCAACCCATCCATCCATCAGCCATCCCATTGGACGCAGTGGAAGACGCCAGTCATCATCGACCCGGCAAAAAACCGACCTTCAAGTTTTTTGCGGCCTTCTTGATGACGATAACTGGATTAATGCCCAGCTGCCAAGTGTCTTCATTTACCTTTATCATTATATAATGAACGGCTTCGAATTCCGGTGGAATTGCAAGATGCGATGCAGGATATGTACAAAGAAATGAAAAAACTGGCTACAGGGTTGCAATAAGTTCATCCTTGGTCAATGGCAGGGATAATTCGATATATAATAAATACATTGATGTCACCACGACAAATTAGGAATTGATAAAAACATCTGTCTCTTCATGCCCAGGCTGTGACCTCTGAAGACCTACATGGAGTGGAAAGCACTTAATGTTATTCTGAGGTTTCGGAGACAGAACTTGATGAAAACCCACGACCAGTTTTACCCGCAAAACGCCCGCAAAAACCCTCAAAACGCCGCTAAAAACTCGCAAACGCCCACAAATCCCAGAAAGTAGGTCAAATGGGTTTTTGAGAAACCTCTAAATTCGTTGAATTGCAACTCTTTTGGGCTGAATGTCATGAGTAGGATTGCCTGCTCGATTTGGACAATCTTTGGTCATAAGCTGTTCGGGAGAAAATGAGTGCCTATAGTCATGTTTTCCTACGAGCATGATGTCGACATGAGTTCATTTGTTAGCACAAATGCAATTATGGTTCCTTTTGCATACTCGTATATCATTACCGTATCTTGTAGTTTTGCTGCGCTCGAGCCTGCTTATAATTCTTGGAGCTCTAGGCCAATGTCTGATCGACCAGGGATTAGTGAAACCCGCTATTTCTTAGAGGGGTATATCGACTGCCCAAGCGATGGCAAACCCAGGCTGCACTTGATTTTGCCACATGTTTTGGGCAAGCATAAGAGATCATACTTTTGAACTCCCGTGAAACCGACCAATCATCATCGTCATCATCATCATCATCCTCATCCTCATCCATCAGGCATCCAGAGGCCACGGGGAGGGCAGTGTGTGACCATGCACGACCACTCTTTGTTTGAATCGTATGTGCTCGACCACTTTTCAACTGATTGTCACAATAAAGTAGTACAAACCACATCGACCAAGATATTTTGGGATTTTGAAGGTCTAGGTTACTATATATTACCGTTACATACCGTTACCCCCAGTTTGTGTTTTGGGTCTGCTTGAAACATGCTGATAACAGTTTTGTTTGTTTCTCTGCATGTGTGACTCGTGACCAAGATTCGGAGGTCACAGTCACAGTCTGGCAGGTTTCGCTGTCTATTTCGTTGCATTGGACAAGACACATGTACCACGCAGCATCCCAAAGGCTGACTTTTTATATACAGTAGGGGGGTGCTTGCTTGAGATTGGACTCTTGCGCGTTTCATGTTTTATGTGTGCAAAAATGTGGATGTACCTATAGATGTATACAATATATTCTATGTCTATGTGTATCATACAACAACCCACTGACTAACAGGGCAAAGTGTCTGCATTGTATCCTGGCCTGTGCATGACAGACTGGTGCCTAATAACAAAGTTTCACTCATCAATGGAGATTCCAAGAAAACATGGTTTCTTCCCCTGTGCCCCTGTCGTCTGATGCATCTCAGGTCTTGTCCGAAGAAGATCTTCCAACGTTGAAGAGCCCGACTGTTCGACTATCCCAGGAACCGGTACCCCAGGTGGGGTCCGAAACTAAGTAGCTACCCCAGGTGTGAGACACCAGGTTTGGCCCTTTTTGGCCCGGTCGGATGCCTCTCCTCCGTTTGGCCCAGTGACCGGGATGTCGAGCCAAACCGAAGCCATGCCGGTGCAAGCGGCCAGTCCTCGCGCTCGGCGTCGGCATTGGTGCGGGACCCAGTCATGACTGCCAGACTGTGTTCTCATGTAGACGGTTGATTTATGTTAAATCTATTTAACAAAAACATAGGAGAAAAAACACACAAAACCTTTTGGATTGTAAATTCTTATATAAAACCTCGGGCAGCTTTTTGTTTTGACTGAAATATGGTCGGTCCAACATCTGCACCATCACCGGGGCGCAACATGCACCTGTCCTGGCGATTTCTTGGAACATCGGTTTACCCAGGCGGCATCGCTAAGCCAATGGCCGTTTTCGAGGTCAAAGCTGCCCACACTCACTTGGATGGTCTCAACATCCCCCCCGGTTTTTGTTCTGTGCAACTCGCAGTGAGCCCGTTTTCCCTCCTCGCGCGGTTGCTTTCCCCCACCCGCACCGTCAGCGGAAAAAGAAGAACAACGCTGTGCGATGTCCTCCTTTCGAGACACACGCCATCAATGCCTCATATTGATCGCTCGTCTCAGAGGCCACCTGAATGTCAATCCGTGGAGCAAAGAAAGCACGATTCTGTCCAGAAAGCTGAGCAAGAGCGGTAGTATGCGGTAGTGGTGGTAGTGATGTTGGAAGCCCAAATGGTGGTGTCAGAGGATGTCCTGGCACCTTTTGTTGAGGCCCTTTTCCCCGAAATGGAGCTGAACTCTCCATTTCAGATGAGCGCTGGAACAATAAGGAAAAGCACGGCCTTGACATCCTTGACGTTTAGATCGTTTTCGTCTGTCACAGTTTGACTTGATTGTGTCGTTCACCACGGTGACCATGGGCCAGTCTGGCACGTTCGCTCCTTTGGGGGCTTCGAACAGTTCTGTCAGGGTCTCATGGGGCGCCACCAAAGTGAAGGAATTGGATCAACGGGGACATGTCGCCTTCATCTGGCAAGACAAGGGCAAGCATTAGGGACAATCTATGGTTTAAAATTCAAAACCCATTGTGTCCATCGCTGTAACTAATTGAAACTGTCAAATACAGTAATGAACAAAATGTAGTTGGAGGCCCTCGCTCCCAACACGCACCCCACATGCACAGCCCGCGCGACGCAGCGCGACGCAGTGAGGCCTCGAAGTAGTAGAGCCTGCGTCAACTATGCCATTGGCATAGTGTTTGTGAAATTTCAGCCACTTCGTCGCAGTTCCGCCAGAACACAAGAGTGGTTGAAGACAAAGTGCGAAAGTCATTTAAGTTGATGTTGTTTTTGGACGATGGCCGCCCTCAAGTAAACAGTGGATAGCACACAGCATGTGGACCAAAAGCATGCACAGGAAGCACGGAAATAAATAGTCTTCCTTGGACGTTCCATTTCTAAAATACCTTACCAGTAGTATTAGACCTGCGGACCTGCTCCAGACTCCTTCAGAATCACCAGAATTACATACTCAAAAGAACCTGCTGTCTCCGATATCTCCGACGCAATTTCCACCACAACCAGTCCAGGCAGGAAAATGTCCATCTCTTCAAGTCTTTTCCTCCGAACGATGGGTCCCCAGAAGAAGCCCAGGCACTGACGAAAGGACGAACAAGAGGACCGATGGATTCCGAAGGACTCGCCGGCATGCGCGCCTCACCCGGCCAGCCGTGCTGTCCAGGTACAAGAAGCCGTACTGCGCCTCTGGCAAGGAGTCTGGGAGCAGCCGGTGCATGGCGAGGACCCAGCACTATGGAGCACCTTGAAATCAAAGGTCCTAGAGGGGAAAAAACCACATCTGCCCTAGGCCTAGGCCAGGAGGGTGGCCTTGTTCAAAGGCCCAGGTGAGTCTTGGGGTCGGCCACGACTGGGACGTCGATGTGGTCGTGAGATGTGGGCCCAGTCGTGGTTAAGGCCCTGGGATCGGTGTCCGGAGTATGTGAGACCAGGGGCCGATGCCAACATCCAGGTACCTGTAGGGTTTATCCTATGACCGCCCAGTGGATGATGATGGGTAGTAAAGGCGTGGTTCAAAAATGATGATAATTGTTGACTGACTGTTACAGGTAATAGGACAGACCCTACAGCTACCAAATTACCTAGTATGACCTATGGGAAATTCTAGTTACTAGTTCACGACTGGGGGTATCTGCACGGAGTGTGCACCGGTAGCGACTATTGGGCTCAATCAAAAAGGAAGGATCTGACGATCCGAGATCTAACAAGGTCCAAGCAAGGCGCACAGCAGCACCTTATCTTTCCATCGCTCACGCAGTGCGATCCGCGACCGTGTGGTCGCTCAAGGGGCCCCTCCAAGCCAAGACACAGCGGCATCCATACATGCCTGAGCAGCTGAAGGTGGGTTTGTTGCACCACCCCAAAAGAGAAAATCAGCTGCGAAGGTGTGAAGATAGTGCAGCTCGGAGGAGTCACTACAAAAAAGGTCAAAGGGCTCAAAATGATGACCCTCATTCCATGCCATGGCTTTGTCCACCTTGGAGACGGCGGTGTGGCCTGTCTTTTTGTTTCTTTTGGCTGCAACGAACTGTGGATCGAAGGCGATGCTCCAGCGGTTGGTCTGAAGGAATTTGACCAATCCTTCTCGACAGGAAGCCTTGCGCTTTGTGAGGCTGTCGGCCAGGTCGAAATCGGAAGCTAGCCAACGAAGTTCAGCCCCAACTCTCCTCAGATTATCACGCAACTGAAAGGCCTGAAGCGCTGCCCTCATATTGGATAATCCAAGGAGTGGAGATTCGTTCATCTCCACAGCGTCGTAGCCTCCACGGCTGTCGGTGCAGAGGATGCCTTTCACAAGACGGGCCTGCTTCTCCGTCTCCTCCACCAAGTCGTGGCGCTCTTTTGGCCTTTGGTGGCCTGCTCCGTGGATCTCTGTCCATAGGAGCCTCATCCGAAAGTTGGAGTCTTCGGATTCTAGCACTGCCTGTATTTCTGCGTCGTTTGACGCAATCGCCTTGCGCTTGAGTTTCCAGCAGCGCCAGTTCACCAACATGAACTCAGTGACATGGCCAGAGCGACAGGAGGGTCCTGAGATCAGGCTGATCATACCTCCGGTGGAGTTTCCACCTGGTCTGTTGTTGTGCGACTGGTCGGCCATTGTGGTGAAGGTCAGGTCACTCCAATGCTCAGCATCTTTGGGCTTGAAGAAGCGAAGCTTGTAAGATTCCAGGCGAATCTCAGTGATCATGTTCTGAATCTCCCTGGCGTGCTCCAACTGACCATTGGTCACCAAATCGCTCAGCAGGAGGTTGCATCGAGCGCAGAGTTGTGGTTGGGTTTGTATGGCCAACCATTGCAAAGATCCCAGGGCTGCCCTGCAGCTGGCCAACTCAGAAGGAGAGAGCTTGTCATCAGCTCGGATGCGATCAGCTGGGATGTCAACATCCTGAAGGGTCTCGATGTAGGAGTCTTGGTCCACCTCGATCTCGACAAGACCATCAGGCTTCCGGACAGAGGTGATGTCCGTGCCTGCGTGGCGGTAACATCCACGCTTGACACTGCCCCACTGGTATGCAGCATCGATGCGTTGGCAGATGGCCTGCCACTCAGAGCTGTTCACATCACCAACACGGTGGAAGTCGTCAACGTGTCCTCCCATTGCTCCAAGAAGACGAGGAAATTGACCAGTGGAGTCCAGCTCGGTCTTGCTGAACCACAGCCATAGAAAACGCTCGCCAACAGCGGCAACAGCTCCAAGCTCAGTAAGCTTGTTGTGTAGAGAGAGCCAAAGCCCTCGAGGAGCTGTAGTGGAGCCGTACACATTGCGCAGGATGCGCAACAGAGTGTCCTGGGGGACATTGAGTGCTGTCTTCAACTCTTCAACACCTGATGTCCATATCTTTGCATCCGACTCCGTGGGCTGAGTCTGAAGGAAAGCCGTGGCAAGGTCCAGTCCTTGTAGTTCCCATTGATGCCAGACGCTCAAGACATACAGCAGGTGGCGTCCAACCAACCTCTGAACAGGAGCAGCAGTTTTGAAGCCACGATCAAGGAGAGATGGATGCTGATATCCAAGTAGTACAATGCGTGCTTTGGCCTTAGCTGTGGCTGACTCATTCAGCACGGTAGCGTCTGGATGAAGAGCTCGTTCACGCTTGGCCTCTTGAAGTTCATCTGGAGGCATGGGTTTCCAAGTCAGAACCCATCGAGCTTTCAAGATTCTGCCACTGGTGTAGGCCTCCCGGGTCTCCTGATCATTCAAGCATGCCCTGACAGCGGCATTCTTCAGGAACGAATTCACCTCCTTCAGCTTGGCTCGATGAAATAGTTCACGATCTGCAGCTGAAAGGCGTTCCAACTTCACCTCAGAGGAGTTGAGCCTCTTAACCAGGTAGCTGACAGGGTTGTGCAGGAACTGTTTGCGTTGTCTGTTGGAGTCAAATGAGATGTCCAGCTCAAAGCAAAGGAACTCTTCAGTCTCTTGGAAAGCCTGGTAGAGCTCAAAGTCCTGCACCTCATTGTCAACATCGGCCCGCAAAAGATCTATCCAGCCCAAGTCATAGCTGGAGCGAGCTTTCTTGTGAGACTCTTCATCTTTGGATTTCTTGGGAGGTCGTTCAACTTCCCGGTCATAGTCATTGACTTCACGCTTCTCTCTCACGCTGACCTCAGTGGTGTCAGCACCAGCTTCAGCTTCTGGTAGATCATCTTCATGTTCACCTGGTTCGGGAGCAACAGATGGAGTATACTCAAGGTCAGGTGCCGGTGGCGGAGGAATCCAATGCTTCACCTTTGGATTCGCAGAGGAGGAGGAATCCAAGCCAAGGGGCGAAGAGCGATGCACCTTGACATACTCATCAGGACCAAAGGTCTGCTTATGCTTGGCCCTTCGGATAGGCACATAGGTGGTGTTGTCGGGCTCGTCGGGAAGATCTGGTAGTTCTCGGTCTTCTTCATTGGGGACTTCATCCACAATGTCCACATACTCTCGCTTTGGCAGGATGTCTGCGAGAGACTTCCACTGAGAAGGGTCCTCGTCGGTGGTGATCTCATAGGTGAAGCGCTCAGTCTCAGTGACAGGTCGAACAGAGTGCACTGAGCAACGAAGCATCTTGCTACCCACCAGAACCCATAAGATATGCCGTCGGTGATCTCCTTCTTCTGATGAGGAAGTAGCTCCTGAAAAACAACTCTTCCAGGTCCAATCCATCGAGGCTTGGCAGCCTTCTTCAGACCTCCACGAACACCCTTGTGAATCAAGGTGGGTTGGAGCCGTCGCCAAACCATGACCATGTCCATGGGGTTGAAGTTTCTGAGAGGTTGACGGACGATGGTGTTGCTCAATTTGGAGAGCACTCTCTTGGCTCGAGTGCGAGTGGCCACTTCTTCAGCAGCTTGTCGTTGTTGAATCAGCTTGGCGAACTCGTGAGAAGGGTCCGCATTCTGAAAGGTTCGGGTGTCTTCATCGGACATGTTGAACATCTTTCCAAATGCCCATTGGTTGGCGGTGTAGCCGGCAGTGTACTCGGTATTGTTCAAGGCAGCAGTCGCCAGCACCAAGGTCATACGAGGGCTCAAAGTGGAATCATCTAGCTGGATGGCACTCGCGGTGTGCTTGACGTCTTGGATGGCAGCTTCAACAATGCCATGTGCCCAAGGCTCCTTCTCAGGAGGAAAGTGCATGTAGATGTTGAGGTCCTGCATGAACTTGTTGAACTTGTCCGCGGTGAAGCCCATGCCATTGTCGCACACGATCAACTCAGGTTTTGGGAAGTGTGCAAGCCACTTCTCAGTCAGGCCGTGGATCACATCCTCGGCGCTCTCTCCATCCATGGTGAGGCTGGAGTACTCCTTTATCACATGCACCACCCGAAGTTTGGTCGCCAAGTCGACCATCAGAAGGAATTTGAGCTTGACCTTCTGGTTGGGCACCTGCCATTCGGAAGTATCCATTCCAACCACTTGCCACGCCTTTGGAAGAGCATGAGTAGAAGCTGGAGGAACCATCTTAGAGCTCTGACCACCAGGTCGTAGTGCTTCACATGCTGGACAGGAGAAATTCTTGACCAGGTCGATCTTCCACTGTGGTTGATTGGCTTCCTTCACAATTCGGGCCAGGTTGGCATTCGTAGGATGCCCAGCGGCCTTGTGGAATCGCGCTACCTTAGCTTGCCATTGTTGACGTTCTGCATTGGAAGGAATGATGCCATCAGCATAGTCTGGTACTCGTGGAAGAAGATCATCTTCTTGAGGTAGTTCAGGCTGTAGTGCCTCTTCTTCAGCAGCCAAAAGGTCCTGCACCGTTGTAGGCTTGTCATAGTTTCGGAAGAGGTAGTTGACATTCTTGTCGGAGAGGAATTGCTGACGCCAAGTGCGGGCAATAGCTTGACATAGCTTCCAAGGATAATAGGCAGATCGGGCAGTCTCTGCTCCTTGGATCCAACTGTGACTGTGACCACCACCACAAGTCTTTGCCCGATAGATCTTCCAGAAGTGCTCATCGGTGGTCATGATCTTCCAACTCTTCTTAATGAAGTCGGTGTCCTTCAGGTTGCGCATGCCATAGACACACCCGTCTACACGGCAACCTTGCCAGAAGAGATCATTCTCATGGAAGTAGTGCTCAAGGTCGATCATAGGTGCTTCACTCCAACCCTGACAAGGATGGGTCCATTCAAAATACACATGCATTGAGGGGTCTGCATCCATGGCCTTCTTGAGGAACTGGTTCATGTTCCAGAGCATCTTTCGTTCACGCCTTTGATGGGAACGAAGAAGTAGTTTCCGTTCTGGCGTGGAGTAGTTGAGGAAGGTCCATTTGCAGAACTTGGTGCATGGTAAAGAGAACCAGATCTTGCGAGGACGGTGCTTGCGATGAAGTTGAGACAAAAGGTGCCATGTCTCCTCTTGGTACAGGTCGTAGCCTTCTGCCAAATTGATGCGGCGAGAAGGGATGCCATGCTGCATACAAGCTTCGGAGAGCCAGCTGTGAGGAGCACAAGCAACTTCCCAAAGACCATCACGACCATCAACACATAGATCCATAGCAGCAGCTGCCATAGTTGAGGTCAAAGTCATAACCATCATCATGACCTTTGCTCCGAGGTGATGGGTCAACGGAGCGGTCTTCTCTTCTCTCACGCTGCTTCGAACAGGTTGGGATTCATGAGATCCCCACTTGACATTGCGTCGGCCTTTCGATCTCGTAGAAGGGCGGCAAGACGAATCTTCTCTTCCTCGGTCAGCAGCTTCTCCATGTCGGCTCCGGTGAGAGGTCCCGAATCCTCGGAACTCGGTGACTGAGCGCCCGTCACCGGATGAACCATGTTCCAGGAGGGAGCCGGGGAGCTTGGTCGCTGACTCATGGAGAGGGTCAGGTCCTGCACTGGTGTCTTGTAGCCCTTCGACGGAGGTGTCTTTGGTGGTGACTTCTTGGCATCGGCCACCAGCTTGAGCAAGGCCTCCTCCGCATCGATCTTGACTTGCATTGCACGACAGATGTCCTCTGTCGGTGATTCTCCGTCCATCAGGTCGTAGAGCTCCTTGAGCATGCGCTTGACCATGGCCGGATTGTCGAGCTTGGTGTGTTGTCCCGGAGAGCCCACCCGAGGGATGTACTCCAGGCGGACATGGCAGACTGCGCAGTTGATCCATGCTCCGTGAGGATTGTACTTCATGGTGGCCGGAACATGTTTGGCAAAGCACGGCCACTGAGTGCTGCTGGCACGTGGATCCCTTGTGTCCATCTTGAAGGAGCGGTCGTGGTCGAGGGGAGCTGTCTCCTTCTTCTTGGGTGTCGATGCCTTGATGGCCGCCACCACGAGATCGGAGGGAGTGCCCTTTCCCGACATGATTGCCAGCAGGAGGCGAATTGGGGTCAAGGATCACGGATGATCGCATTGAGGTCTGAAAAACAGCTGAAGCATTGGAGAGTTGACGACTGTGCTCATGCAAACGTCGAAGACAATGAAGAGAATGCTGCAAATCAACTTCTGAAATCTCTACAGGCTGTTGGACAAAACCATCATAATGCTCAAGAGGATGAAACTCTAACACGTGCAGATCCGCTTGACTCGAAGTTCGGCTCGGCGTCACTCGGATGGCTGCATGACCTTCAAGAATCTCGTCCCCCAGTGAGGTAGTTGACAATATCCAGGATATAGTGGCCCTTGCGGTTGCTTGGAAGTCTATAGGCTTCAGGTTCATTCTTGAAGGTGTCCATGGCCATCCCAGTTCGGAAGTCCACCGCCATCGACGAACACGACCCAGCCAAATGACTCATCCCTACCAAAATAGGAACCAACGTAGACCTATCAAAGTTGGGATCATGAAGATCAGGAGGGTTTGGTAGCGCATATAGTTGGAAAATGCGAGGTTCACCGGATGCCCTTGAACAAACATGTACACGATAAAGTGCTTGCCCCCAACGACCGTTTCCGAAACGAAAGTATGGTCTCTCATCCTTTTGGATCTCGATCTGAGCTTGGTGGTCTTTCGACAGAATGGCCTTCATGAGGCTCTCGACAGCAACTTGGGGGCCAGCCGAAGCTGTCGCACCGCAATCAAGCAAACCTTGGTGGGCTCCCATGGCCTCTAGGGGCGTGGCGGTTTCCGCCCGGTGAGCCTCAGCGATCTCTAGGGCACCCATGAAAACTTCATCGGCCGCATAGGCATTGACAGGCGGCCGCGTCATCATCGAGGAAGATGACTTCCCCTTTCCCTTCTTCCCCTTGGAGGCGAAGAAAGTGGAGTGCTTTCCCTTCTGTTTGCCCTTACCCTTCCCAACAAAATAGAGCTCTTCAGGGTTGTAGTCATACTGGTAGAAGCTATTCTTCCCCTTATAGCCCTTAGAGTAGGAAGGATGGCGTCTGTCGGGGCATACCTTGGAGTAGTGAGGTCCACCACAAATGAAACAGGGTCCTTTTCCACCTTTACCAGAGGCACCAACAACATGTCCAAACCCTCGATCTCGACGCAAGGCAGCTGTGGCCCTCTGGGCCTCGCTCCAAGTTCTCTGAGCTTCTGCAGCCAAGGATTCAGCAACCTTTTCAGCCTGTTGAGCCTCCTTCAAGGCCTCAGTGTCCTCAGCAGAGGCTTCATGAGCTTCTTGTACATGAGCGTCCTCCCAATCATAGTCAGTCCAATCCGCAGCATAGTACTGCGAATGAGGATCAGACCAATCCTCCCAGCCACCAGACTCCCATGAGTCACCATGTAGTGCCCAGGACCAGTCACCATTCTCAGCCACAACAGCGTCGTGCTCCTCAAGCATGTGGTTCTGGTAGGTGTTATTCTGCCGGCCCAGGAATTGTTCATCCCATAGAGTCTGGAGAGCTCTTGCCACCACATCGAACTCAAGACTGCCACGAGTGGTGCTGATGATATCTCGCTTATCCTCCGGCGTCAGGCCTGAGGATTGCAGCAGTCGGAACCCACGAAGAACGCCCAGGACAAAACTGTCGGTCCAGGATAATTCCGGAGGTCCACTGGTGCTCGGTTGAACGCCAACGGACTGACGTGAGGGCACAGTGGAAGCATGCCAAGGTGAGCCGCTTTCTGGCTGCAAGGGGTCTTCTTCATCAGGCCAGGGAGCGTCGCCATATTCTGAAGCATGTGCAGCTCGAACAGAACGGCGTCGAGAACTATGAGGAGAATCGGTATTTCCTTCTTCCCATTCATTCCACTCTTCCAACTCATCGGCCTTGGGCAGACCATAGTCCTTGTCTTCCTGACGGACACCATGTTTGTCCTCATAGAGGCGGACTAAGGCCTCCACGAATTCAGTGTAGCCCAAAGCTTCTCGCACAAGGAATGGCTGGATGGATTCTGAGGGCTTCCGATGGAACTGAAAGTATTGCTGGCAAATGGCTGCCGCATTTGGCAGGCTCTGCCGCACCAAGGGCGAAGCGGCAAGTCGCTGGAGAAGTTCACGTACACCATCTGGATGATCGAGATTGAGATCAACCCATGACATTGCAAGTAGCCGTGCCGGCCCTGTAAGCCGAGAGAGAAGTCGAGTGGCACAGTACTGTCTCTTGTGAATTGGAGTCGATCTCACATACCAGACGACTTCTTTGGTGTATCGTCGCCATGTTTGTGCACGGCCATCCCAAGCTGGGATGTGACCTTCTTTCTCTGCCATTGTTGAGACAGAGGTGGAGAAAATACAAAACAAAGGGGTCCACAAGGAGAAATGAATTGCAAAAAGTAGTGCCAGTCACAAGGAGGTCCTCTTAGAGGTAGTGCTGGCAAGGTCCGCCACCAATCAGGGGCAAAGGGTCGCCGAACGTGCCGAAGCGGTCCACAAGCAAGTAGTAGCGATCCCTGGAGTCAGCAACAGCTGCTCCGCTACCAATGCACGGAGTGTGCACCGGTAGCGACTATTGGGCTCAATCAAAAAGGAAGGATCTGACGATCCGAGATCTAACAAGGTCCAAGCAAGGCGCACAGCAGCACCTTATCTTTCCATCGCTCACGCAGTGCGATCCGCGACCGTGTGGTCGCTCAAGGGGCCCCTCCAAGCCAAGACACAGCGGCATCCATACATGCCTGAGCAGCTGAAGGTGGGTTTGTTGCAGTATCCCCAAGTTGCTGGTCCCCATCTAGCGAAGGGGGAGAACTCCCGTACTGAACTCATGAGCTCCCAGTGGCTCGTTGAGCGATGCCCGTTGTCCGGCGTCCAGCATTGTCAGCTTCCCAGCGTCCAGCATGGCTTCGATGACGGATGCGGTTTTTGTTTTATGGAGCTTCGTGGTGGGCTTCGTTGGGAGCTTTGAAAAAGACATCCACGCTCCAACCGAACAGAACCGAGTGCGCCTCCTCTATGGGCTCGAAAAATGCTCCAAAAAGGACCCCAGGAGTTTCATTTCAGTAGACTTGTTGATACGTACTTGTTTGCAGCCAGGAAAGGTGTTGTCAAATAATACACTTTCTTCTCTTTCAGCCCCATCTCCTGTTCCAGTGTCTTACAGTAACAGTATGATCAGCCCCCGTTTCAACACACCAACTCCTGAGCATTGAAGCTTTGGTCTCCGTGCATGCGCCTTGCATTCGCCATCATCCATGCCGTGCGCGCCGATCATGAAGCCCACCGGTTCGGTGGTGTTCGCTTGCACCTTGCGGTGTTCAGGAATTGGTCCATACAGCCAAGCCAACACTGAAAAGTCCAAGAATCACCGCTCACCGTTACAAATACATATATGTTAAAAACAACATGAAATGAAACAACAAACAAACCCTTGGCCCCTCCAAGATGACACTCCCCTAGCCTCCCAACAGATCAGAATCTCACTCTGATTCATTGTCCACATGTGGAACGTGCCTTCAAGAAAAACTGCTTGCAAGTGGAGCCTGTTCCACATCAGCACCCAAAAAAATAACAGCAGTTTGGAGGTCCATCAACGACGGCTTTCGAGGTGTAGTTGCTGGCCTTCACATCATGAGCACTCATCCTGCCTGTGCGACCACATGAACCCGGCAGCAACCTTTGTTATGAATACTTCGTTCGTTTCTCGACGCACGTTTGCGGCCTCGAAACCGAGGCCAAGTGAAGGTGGGTCAAGGTGGGTCTGGAAGAGAAGGAGCCGCTGAAAAGGGATTTACCAAGGAATCGAAGAGTTTGGGCAACATCCACGGTTTTTCCCAAAGAACCCGCAAACTGAACCAGCCAAAAACCAGCTCTTACGGACCTTCTGGTTCCCCATCCTTCGAACCCCCATGCCATGAGCCGTTCGGCCTCCGAACAAACCGCCCTCCCGTAGGTGAACAAATCCGCCATGGGACGTAATTGCAATGCTCGTGGCCATCCATGTACTTCAAGCGATTCCCCAATGCACTGCACTGTGAGAGGCCCAACAGCTCCTGAACGACCGTGATTTCGATCCGCAGAGTGGCAAGGCGACGCAGGCGGCGCACGTCGTTCTTTACGCATGAGTCCCGTCTCAAGAACGTGCTTTGCTTATCAAAGGAGTATGCCAAGCCAAACATTCCTGAAAGCCTCCAATTCAAGAAGCCTAAGCAGTCCCCTAGATTCGGAACTGTGTACCATCCCGCGACCCTTGCCACTCATGCACTGGTTCAGAAGCCCTCACCACTGCTCCTTCCGCACGTCCGGCACGGACATGCCTCCGGTGCAGCCCATTCCATCGGTGTTCCAGTGGCCCAACAAGAACCTGCCGCCGGTGTTTTCGCCGAGTGGGTTCAGTGTCAGAGATGAGGAGCTGGCATCAGAACAGCCGCGCAAGAAGAACCCACTGTAAGGAAGACACATGCTTCACGTGCTGTTCATGTTCATTCATCTTTAACATCTTTAACCCAGGTGATTTGGCCCCATCTGGTGTCAACATATCATATATGCCAACCAATCTCTTGAACAGTGTCACTGTCCATTGCCTTGTAGCCCCAAATTGTGTGTGTGTAAGAACTGATGTCACAGGTTGGAGGGGCCAACTACGTTTTAGTTGGAGATGTGCTAGACAGAATGTGCATCCCTTATATATCCCATATGGTCCCGTATGGGGCCCCAGCAAGATCTCTCAACCTCTCTTCGAGGATGTTGTTACAATGACACAAGTAAATAATTATGTTATACTATTATGATTGGTGGATAGTGGATATAATGATAAAAATACATAAAAAAAATATTTTACAAAGTAAATATGCTTCACATAAAATAAAGACTGTGAGTGTTCATCCGTCTTGTGGTGCTTCTCATGCCGTCCTTGCGTTTGGGCTTCTCAGCCAAGTGGCACCACTGCCGGCTTCGTCTGCATGAAGTAGTCGCACGCCTGGACACTGTGGTGTTGAAAGTGAGCCAGCTGAAAGAGCTTCTTGAAGACGGAAAGCAAGAAACAGACAGACAAGACAAGACAAGACAAGACAAGACAAGACAAGACAAGACAAGAGAAGACAAGACAAGAGAAGAGAAGAGAAGAGAAGAGAAGAGAAGCCAAGCCAAGCCAAGCCAAGACAAGACAAGACAAGACCAGACGAGACAAAGAGCGAGAGCGAGAGCGAGAGCGAGGGGAGAGGGGTCTGTGTGTGATTCTATAGGATCTAATTGGTGTGGATGTTCCCATCAAACTTCGATGTGTTTGAAGTGGGAGACTGAATGCACTGAAACTGGGTGAATAGATCAGGGAGTAAGCCATGAACAAGCCCCGTAGAAACCAATGGGTTTTATACAGTAATATATGGTTGTATCTCGCTACCAGCTCTCAGTTTGCAGTTCCTATATGCGATCCATAATCGTTGAGGTATCGCGCAAAATGAGGCGCCCAGGAACCTTCCACTTTTTTACCACGGAGCGTACCTCTGCAAAGTAGGGTTTCATCTCCTGAAAGGTGGCAGCCCCTGTGAAGCCGAGGAATCCGACGTTGCCGAGCTTGTGGTACACCTGACAGGGTGATCTCGGTCTGTCGCATATATAGTAGGGATTTGGGGGGTACAAAGGGGGTGTGAAAAACGCCCGGAAACGCCCAAGCCATGTCAAGCCACATCCATTTACCTCGATGGCTTGAAGAAATCGCATGAAATCGCCAAACCAGATGGATGAAAACGGCAGCTCTGTGCGCAAGCTTCAACTGTTCGGCTTGGATGGGTTCCAGTGGCTGGTTCGGTTGTTTGGGTGGACGTCTGGAGGTCGCATACTCTTGGGGCATTGAATGTTCAATCTTGATCAACAATCAAAACGCGCACACACACACACCCCAAGATCATCCAGCAGCATCAGTTCAAGAAAAAATCCACCTGGTGGGACCTGTCATATCTACAAGCGGCGTATTTGCAGTAAGTCAACTAGTAGGTGGCTCATGGTGGCTCTACCAATCAGTGCGTCATTTCTCAGGGAAATAACATCCCTAACTTCACCTGCGGCTGAAAATCTGCCCAGCAACCAGGAAGTTGGTGCCCACATTCTGGAAGCTCTTCCATGCCTTCCTGAGGGTCCGTGATGTCTTCCGTGTCGAACGCACCGAAATACCCCCGCAACCGGCCCATCGGAGACACCTATACACCTGATCTGGTCCGACGCCCTGTGGAAAACTTGCCTCTAAACTCCGACACCCGACAGCAAAAGGCAAATAAAGTGTGGGATCAGCAAAAAGCATGTAAAAGGTTAGACTGGGGAAGTGCAGGATGCACTTGTTAGTTGGATTCCACGAGCATACTAGATGGGCCAAACATGAAACGACAAATGAGGGCAACACAATTTCAAGCGCGAATTCCATTAAGAAATAATTACTAAAAACGAGATCAGAATCAAAAGTGTGCAATTGCTGCAGGCACGTCCGCCTTCTTGTTTGACTATGTGCTCTGCATAAAGCAATCAACTCCAACAAAAAGAAGGAACAAAACAGTCAATCCAACTTCATAATGCTACATCACAGAGAGAAAACAGGCCGTCTTGCGTTTCTTGCGCCCCAAGAGCTTCCACTCCCCCCCCTTCCAACCCCTCGCGCCTGGCGTCCGGGTCCACCGAGAAGTCCATGAACTCCCCCGAGACCAAGGCGTTGTCGCTCACCAGCCGCGAGGCCACAGGGTCGGCCGTGTAGTACCTGGACCGGCGGGAGGCACGAGGGCGGTTTGGTCCAGTGCCAAGAGAGGTGAAGTGACCTGAACGAACGGACCGCAACCTGGGGTACCTGTGGGATAGGCTATAGGGTTCTTCAATCTCTGGTGGGTCGTGTTGGGATGTTTGGGATGTGGTGTGTGGGCCAGGGGTCCCACCGGGGCGCGGGAGGGGCGTGGGGTGGGTGAGGAAACGCAACACGAAGGGGTCTAACTTGGGAAAGGTTGCCCCAGCTGGCGTGGCCGTGGCCCCCAAGTCATGGCCCTCCACAGAACCGAGGGCCTGCACTCCGCCGTTCCATCCGGTTCAGTCGAGCCGCTGCATTTGCCCGATGCCGAAGTTGTCCTCGGAGCCGCCGCAGTTGGGGCCGCCGCACACCCAATTGTCGTGGTTGCCGTTCACCTCGAGCACCAGAGGAAGCCCCCTAAACCCTGGGTAATGGGGTGAGAAAGATCCAGTGGAAGAGTTGGATTTCGCACCAAGAAAGATGAAAAACCCCCACAATTCGCACAAGAACCCTGGGCTGCTGGGTGGTGCTAGCAGGTCCGGTCAGGAGACCTGTTGGCCAACCCGGTACACTCCAAATGGCTAAAGGAAAAGCAGCTCGTCAAATCTGCGGGCTGTATTCGGTAGGAGTCTAAACAAGTCTCTGAAACTTGGCTCAATGCGACAGAGATGCTCCAATTCGCTTAAATGCATCAACTACAGTACATCTCCTATCCTCTCTTTCAGTATTTTGCGTCTAACTTGTTTGCGTCTCATAGTTTATCTCATAGTTTCCGTCTAACTTGTCCTAGTTCCAAGGTATTTAGCACTCCTGATGCGAGTGACTCTCATGCGAGCGATCCGCAAATCCGCATTTTTGTTAATTGAACTCCTGAGATTGCTGATGATGTAAGAGCAGGCCGGCCACCGGGACAACAACAAACGCGAACCCAAAATGGACATGTGCGCACAAGCACATGTCCAGCCAAGCGTTGTCTTATACTCTTGCTTGACGGTGTGCGTGAAAGCATGACGACCCGTGTCTCCCCCAACCTTCTCAAACACTTCTTGCACAAAAAGACCACATGCAAATCATGTGTGGCATGGTGCACTCCATAAACGTCTCCAAAAGATTCCAAAACATAGAAAGGACATCTCCAAAAATAGAAACAAAATTCAAGCGCATTTGGAGACATGTTTGTCTGTCCATTCAGATTTGGGGTTTCGCTGCTACCTGCTCCCCATCTCCAATTGCTCAAAGAGCCACTACCAGCAAGAAGCGGCGCTTCACATCAAGGGAGAGCTGGTTGAAAAGTGTCTTGGCCAATTCCCCTGTCCGCACGCGGAAACCAAAAGCCAAGGCAGCAACGTGTCAACGCATCTGGGTCCACGCGAAGTTATGGGAGTGCTTTTGGAATCACGTGCGCTTTGCCTGAAAAATGAGGTGAGCCCCCGGCAAACTCTCTCACCGGCACAAGATTGCATTCTCCATGTTGATGGGCGTTCAGCTAAGCATGTGCCTGAGGGCGTAACACAAAACAAAGTGTCTGGACGCAAGTCTTTTCCACCACCCTGACCCACAGCTTCAACACGCTACCAGGGCTCAGGACAGAGGTGCGAGACCAATTTATAGGGGTTTCAGAATAGATGGCCCATTCCGAAAAGGTGGTTTAAATGGATCCCCATCTAAAAGACATCTTCGGGTTTGTGCCATCTACTCTTGGTTTGAAACATGTTAGACACGCCCCACCACTTGGTATCGATCGGGGTCTGCCTGTCAGAAGGGGCACGTGCCAGCCACCCCCAGCCAAAGAAATTGCGGAATCCCATGAAACCCGAAAATAGCACAAATGGAGTCAAAATGGTTGGCTTTTGGATCTGTTTGAAGGGTCTACGGCGACTGTCTACACCGAACATCCTGCGGCCGAGAACAATCCCCAGGCACCCACCAGAGCCCAAAGCCTGTCTGGTCGTAGAAGTTGTCGCCCAGGATGGAGAACATATCCATGGTGGGATCCTGGGCGAGGAAAGCAAGGAAAAAGGATCAGATTAGCTCACAAGCCGGAACCGTTATTTCATTGGGAATCCATATTTGTTCCTCCTGCTGAGGACCACATGGACTCTGAAACTACTGGGGTTGTGGAGGAAAAGGGTCGAAACCACGAGGTCATTTTCAGGGTCCATGTTGGTCTGCAGGGGGTAAGTACATACTATTGTAAATTTGAGTTCTTGCATTGTTAATTGAGATAAGATGATGGCCAAGGCAATGTGTCAAACGAAGAAGACCTTCACCACTACATTGCTTGCTTGAGGAAGGGAGCCACCTGTTCTGTGGGCGCTGTGGCAGTGGTTCTTATGCAAATACTGTCCATCCAGCACAGTATGCTGGCACTGGCGCAGCGACAGTTCCAGGACCAATGTCTTCATGTGTGTTTCAGTCTGGTCAGCTGCTGGACTGAATCACAATCAATCAAATGAATTGCAAATTGCGCCTCTGTTCAAAGTCGGTCTTTTGGAGTGCCCAGCGGCGGCAAAGATGTTGTTCAGCATGGCCACAGAGCGCGGAAAGGTCTGGAACTTCTCGGCATAGGCCTCGAGATGCCCGAGGGAATCCAGCGGTCCATCAGTTGGTCGGCAGGGACTAAGCCCAAATGCATGGATGGATTTGAGAAGGATCTCCCGCGTTCATGGCTTCCGAGCAATGTCTACACAAACTGCACATATCTGCACCTGACAAAGCAACGTCTTTCCCACCAAACATGCCACCCAGCCATACCTAAGCTACCCTCCACCACCCCTCAATTATAAAATATAAAAGAAAACAGTCAACCACAACACAACACCTCGCCGACAAAAGAATTTAAACAAAAAGTGTACCCGTTTCCATACGTGTCCTATCTTCTGCGAGGTGCACAAGTGATCCACTTGGAAGAGAAGCATGGATCCGACCAGAAGAGCGCTCGGATCCCCCCGTTCTCGGCAGGCAACTCCACCTGGAGACTCCGCCGGGCATTCGGATGAAGTCTTATTTAAAAAAAGTATATACCAGGACCCTCCAAGGGGTGTCCAATGAACTACCTCACACTACCCAGAGGCTTCCATTGGGCACCCCTTGGAAGGTCCTGGTATGCATTCGTGGTTTGTAGCTTTAGTGCTCGTCCCTTGCGAAACCAATCATGTATATATATATACCACTGCCCCCTGTCAGGGGTGGTTAATGGACATCCCCGACCCTCTAAGGAGCTATATATGGCTATAATTATAGAGACACCCCTCAAGGGGGCCTGGTAGACCCTGGATAATATTTCAGCCCCCAGGCCTGAAGAGGTTTCTCAATCCATGTCTCTACATTACACTCCCGGATTACAAACATGGAAGTGTTTGACATTGCCCTCCATTTTCATTTGTTGGGAGGGAGGGTCAAACCCACAAAACGTGTTCCAACGGGCCAATGAACATGGGGAAAATGGATTGGCCCAGGTGAAGCTGGGAGTTTGGTGGGGGCTTGGGCTGGGATGGCTCTCTGACCCAAAAGCCACGATATTGACGATATCCACGATGTTGTTCATGCGCTTTTGCTACTCGTCAGGTCAGCTGGCCAAGTGCACAAGCCAAGAATCTTGATCGAATCTCAAGTGGTGGCTCATATAGGGTTTGCCAGGAATAGTCTGCAGAATTTGTGCCATGAGGTTTCAAGGGCAAGACTTGCAAAACAAATATATCGGAGAGGGGGATTCCATGAACCATCTAGGACGTGACCTAGAACATCCCTTTTCTTCTCTTCAGTTCACAAGCAGGTGGAGAGTATGACCCACTTAGCATTCACCAGGGTACAACATGGTACAACAAGCTAATACCGCCATTTTGTTCAACGTCTCTAGATCAAATCCAGCACCTTGGAAAACCCTTCCCAAAGGCCAACAATTGGTGACATCCATGGCCATCCAATTTTTGCAAGGGGTCCACAGCTGACCTCCACCGTCGGCTTCCGGCTCCCAAAAGGCTTTCTACGAGCACCCCCCACCTGCAGTTCGTGGCCGCCAATGCTGAAGACATTGGTACCCACTTTGGCGTCCACCAGGGCGCTGTGGAGGAAGTTGTCCGTCCAGCGGTAGCGGAACTGCCTTGGTAGCTCCGTCGAAAAAGGCATTGAACACCAGGTGAAGGTGGTCGATCAACAACCCGGACTGGGTGGTGCTGGTGTAAGGATTTGGCGCTTAATCTTCCTTTCTTCCAGGACCCTCCCAGGGGAACTATCCCACACTACCCAGAGGCTTCCATTGGGCACCCCTTGGAGGGGGTGGTGTCCGAATCGGACACCAGGAGCCGGTCACCAAAAAAGAGGAGAAAACTCCGAATCAGCGACCAGCGGTCCGGATCAGCGACCAGCGGTCCGAATCAGCGACCACGAATCAGCGACCAGATTTCGCGAATCAGCGACCAGCTTTCCGATTCAGCGACCACGGAATCACCAAGTGCTGCCCTTCGAGGTTCACCAAGCGCTGCGCCTGCCACGAAATCCGCACGTGGAGGTTCACAAAGCGCTGTCCCTGTCACGAAATGTGCACTGCAAGGTTCATAAAGGGCTGTGCCTGTCACGAAATCTGCACCTGGAGGTTCACAAAGTGCTGCGCCTGACACGAAATCTGCACTTCGAGGTTCACAAAGTGCTGCGCCTGCTAGGAAATCTGCACGTGGAGGTTCACACAAAGTGCTGCGCCTGCCACGAAATCTGCACATGGAGGCTCACAAAGTGCTATGCCTGCCACGAAATGTGCACTTCGAGGTTCATAAAGTGCTGTGCCTGTAACAAAATCTTTGCCTGGAGCTTCACAAAGTGCCGCGCCTGCTAGGAAATCTGCACTTCGAGGTTCACAAAGTGCTGCGCCTGCGACGAAATCTGCACGTGGAGGTTCACAAAGTGCTGTGGCCGCCACGAAATGTGCACTTCGAGGTTCACAAGTGCTGCGCCTGCCACGAACTCTGCACGAAGCCTGAAACCAAGCCTATAAACAAACCCCGAAGAAGTCAAGCCCTAAACCAACCTTAAACAAGCCAAAACAAAGCCTACAGAAGCCAAGCCCTAAACCAAGGCCAAACAACCCTCAAGAAGCCAAGCTCTTAAACCAAACCCATACCCCGAAAGAAGCCAAGCCCTAAACCAAGCCCAAGGAAATCCTCCCAAAGAAGTCAAGCCCTCAAAAAGATCCAAAACAAACGCTAAAGGAGTCAAGCCCTAAACAAAGCCCAAGCACCTTTCGAGAGCACACCCATAGGCAAAGGTTTGAGGTAAGAACCGGGACCTGACCCCTGGCTCGGGCTCTCCGCAGCACGATCTGCCTGTTGTTCGTTCCTTTTTTTGCTCAGAAGAACTGCAGCGGTGTGGTCGAAACTTCGAAGGAGCCTCCCTGCTGCATGAACTCGATCTTCTCCTCCAACTCCTCGCGGAAGAAATGCAAAGATGAGCACACGGATGGCTATTGGGCGCATGTCAAGGGGCTTAAGGGATGCTGATGGCTAAGTAATTGGTGGGGATGTCTATAATACAGTTGTGTGTGTATGCATATATTTTGCTATAACATAGTAAAAACACAGATTACATAATATATGTTAATATAATCAGGATTATATGGAGGAGAAGCGAGAACCTCATTCTTCCACACACTCAACACAACCGTCTCAATCATGCAGAAGTTCAAGGCCCAAGCCTCCTCAAAATCATCAAAACTCAATGACTGAATGACGCTCCAAAGAACTCAAATTTCTTGACGGGGGTGGCATTCATTGACCAATATCCCAACCAAAGATGAGAATGACTGCGTTGGGCGTGGGAGTCTCGTTGCTCCACGATCACTGTCATGTGACGGTCACATTACCTGCTCGTCTAAGACCCACATCAATAATCTACCTCAAGTCTAGAACTTACACTATGTAATGTACTCACATTATCTCACATTTGATGGTCAGTCACATTTGATGAACTCATGTATGTTCACGTCAGCGCTCGACCCGGTTGAGGTCTCTTCTTGGACTTCAAATCAACTATCGGAAATACCAAGACCCTGTGCTTCCAGAACTCCCATAGATCTTCGAACAAATCGTCCAAGCAAATCAGTTGGAAAATAACTATCCGTCCAATTCGTGGCATTCCTTTTGCGTGCTTCAACTCTGCCGTCGCCGCTGTCCTTCTGCAGTCTCACTGCCATTGCTTGGGGCGAGTCAGGTCGCACGAGCTGCGCCATGAGCAGTAGCACAGGCAAAGCCAAAGCAAAGCGCGAAAGCCACCAGCAAAAGCGAAAGCCAAAAGCTGCCATGGCCAAGCCTAGCAAGGTGCTTTTGAAGACTAAAAAGGTTCAGAATTCAAAAGCTTGTAACAACGGGTGTTTAAAAGGCTGACAAAAATGTGTTCCTGCCTTGGACGGACCCCCAAAAAATATTACAGTACATAATCCCGTTGTGACATGTTGTGACTGACATTTGGACATCGCAAGTGCTTGCTATAGGGCTTGGCAGCCTAGGCCCCTTGAAACTACATGAATCCACATGATATATATACCAGGACACCCTAGGGGCTTCCATTGATGGCCCCTTAGAGGTTAAGGGATGTCCAACCACCCCGACTGCGGGTGATACGTATACCAGGTCCCCGACTCTGGACCCGAAACCGTCGGGTCCGGTCCGACGAGCAGCTGCACCGAGCAGCTGCACCGTGGTCTTTTTGGTCGAAAGGATACTACCCTTCCTCCCTCAGCTGGTCTGGAAAATCTTCAGATTGAGTCGGGCTTTTCTAGAGGCTAAAGGTGGAGTTCACCCACGTTCTTTTCGCTACGCGTAGGCGTCCGCGAGTACGCGTCTTCTGGTGGCGCCAAAGAGCATGCGAAGCAGCAGGTGTGGAAGACATTCACCTGTGGCTTCTCAAATGGAGACGCGAGACTGATGACCAAGGCCATGCCCACGGTGATGCCCAGCGAGAGCCACAGGCCGTCCTCCGCAGTCACCACCTCAGCACCAGAAGGAAAAACACAAGACACCTGACAACGTGAACACCCATCGCCTCGGAACTGCCATTCAACGTAAGACTGTAACACCTCACTGTGATTGTTGCAGATACACTTAACGTGCGTCATGTGATCTGAACGGAGCTAGATCAGGCCGGATGGCGGAGATCAGGGCGGTGGAGGCCACTTTGGAGGTCACTTCCATCCAAACCTTTTGACAGCTGGCCTCGATGCCGGAGGATGCCGGGTGGAAGACGTCGCACGAGGAGATCGGGGACTGGCTCGGGGAGGCTAAAGAGTTCTATTTTTTGGGGGGGGGGAAGGAGGGGAACGCCCAAACTACACGTGGCAGCAAAGGGGGCTTCGAAGATGAACTTGAAGCTCATCAGCTCCAAACTTTCAAACGTAAAACTATCTTGTGTTGGGCTTTCCCGTCCGACTAGCCAACCATTCTCAAGATCCATGTGCCTTCCTTCGCAAAAAAACGAGTGACTTGAGTGACTGGTGTCCCGAAAAACCGCGTGGGGCACGACCCAAACACCGCCCTTTCGCTGTTTCAGCCACCGAAAGCTGCAGCTTGCAGGCGCCAAGTCACGTACTTGCAGAGCAGATGCTTGGCGCCCATCATCACTCCTGGGCGACCCCGCAGCGAAGGGGTCGCGGACTCTCCGTGAGACGGACTCTCCGCGTGAGACAGCGAAAGAAAAGGGACTTCGAGGAGCGAAACCAGGACACCCTTCTAGAGGCTCAAACATGCTCAAACATCATGCAACATATGGCAACAACAAAACGAATCAAACGAACAAAATACGAACACGAAGAATTCTGGCCTACTACAACGCTCCAACACCCTCAAACACTTGCTGCTTCCGGTGCCAGCTTCTATCTTGCTGGATCTCTTCCAGGATACTTCGCTCCGTCAACATTTGGACCATCTCTTGGTACTGAAGCAGCTCTGCTTCTTCCAGATTGGCATCCATGACCAGACGCTCCACCTCAGACATGGCTAAAAGTGTCAGATCTGGCCGTGGCTGGGTAGATTGGTCAATTCCCCTTCTTCCAGGGGGTCGTTGCCTGGGAAGTCTCCGTACAGTGGTCTCAGAGCAGATGGCACTGGCACCCCCAAATGTCCTGACAGATGGGGTCCCACACCAAACTTGGGGGCCCAAAGCGCCCATCTACCAAACATCTCCATATAAACCCACATATCGACTGCACTTCCGCTTTCTTTTCTTCCGCCCCTTTCCATCGTTGAAGCATGTTAAAGCTTGGGCCACTCCCTCAAAGGCAGGGCCTGCAGGGCCCCCGAATGACGAGTTCCAAACGTGCCGCGCCCTGAAGGAAAGTAAACAAAAGGGCTCAGGGGCGGTCAACGAGCTGGAACGAGCGGTCAACGAACGGTTCCAGCGTCTTCGTTGACTCTCCAGCTGAACAAGCTGGTTGGGTCCAGCCTTGGGGGCTCAGCTTGTTCCTTTTCTTGCGTGCCTGCCTTCATTTCAGTGGGTGCTTTACCCTTGGACCCGTTTTTCCTTCCCAGGTTGGGGCCACAGGACTTCAGATCTTAGATCTTCGTTCTTCGTTCTCGACAAGTGCTCACTGCCGGCAAGGTGCGGAAAAGCTCGAATCGGTGCTGCCGTCGTGGAAGGGAGTCACGATCCTTGGAGCTGGAGCTGGAACCTCCTTCCATGTTCTATTACATGTGCAAGCTGTGCCGGTGTCAATTCCCAACTGCATCTCCCCCAAAAAACAAAGCATCCGGTAGAATCCTTGGCCTTATCAGACCCTAGTGGCCCGAGCCCCCAAAATGCTCGTGCAAACAACACCACACTTTGACGAAGACTGACGAAGACTGACTGCAGTTGCTGAGAAACCACATCAGCAGCAATGTGTCCGCTGTCCATCCTTGCCTTCGACTTCAAGTCTTCACCTGAACCCTAGGACCCCCCAGCAACCTCTTGGACCGTCCTAAAAGAACCCACTGCCAGGGGCACCTTCCCCCCAAAATGCCGCCCCCTCCCCCGGTCCAACTCTCGCGTCTTCGCCCCAGTCTCGCTGCACCCTTCTGCAGCTTCACGGTGGCACCGCATCCCTTCACACGAACTGCCACGTGGGCTGCGGCCGCCGCCACCAGGCGTTTGGGGCACAAGGTCTCCTCCAACGGCGTCACACCACGGTCACCCGGGGTGACCGTGGATCCTCCACCAAACAACCCAAACAACGTGAAACGCAACGGGTGAACGCAGCCCAAACCGGGGCACTGGGCGACTTGCCGGACTGTCTTAAAGACCGGGGTCAACATGGGTCCGGGGTAAGATGGTAAAACCCACCTCAAATGAACTTCACCCTCTCTGTTCATTCTGTTCATCTTCCTCTTTGTCAGCAGGGCCAGTCCTCGATACTCTGCCGGCACGTCATGCTTTGAAGCCTCAGAGTCACTGAACCGCCCTCTTCTTCGTCTCGCTGCGCCAGGAAGGTCTTCGCGGGGCGCATGAGGATGTTTTGCTTCAGGAAGAGAAGACCCAAGAAGCATGGGATCACGAGGCCATAGCAAAAAATGCCCAGCCAACCCACTCCATCGACCTCGGTGAAAGAAGATGAAACACATGAATGTGATGCTTTATGCCTCAAGCAACCGAGCCACTGGTCGATGAGACATACACACAAACCCTCCTTGCTGGCCATGACTTGCAGTTCGCATGACATGGGCCACACTGAGCTCCCCTGCCCAGGGGGCGGACTCCGTGCACAAGAGCTGCGGGAAGAGAGGGCGAAAAGCGGAATCACCCAAACTCACCTTTCCTGACAGCTGCCCGGAACGGTGGTGGTTCCATAGCATCTGAACAGAAGGGTGCATGCCGAAGAAAGTCATACAGCAATTGACAGTAGGTACTGTAGTACCAAGTGTTGCATTTTGTAAGGCACGGCAAGGTAAGTACAATACGATTGATAACTAGTTACTGTATATATATATAATATACTATTTGGACTAATGATTACTTATGATTAATGCCGCATTAATGCCTTGCCCTGTAAAGACCGCACAACTGCATCTGCTCAGAAGAAATTTGGAGCACTAGGGCCGGTGATGCATAGGTTGTATATCGAATTGCTATTTTTTGACGGCTGGCTGGCTGACTCCGCCACGTACTTTGATAGCTGGCTGGCTGATTGCACCCAGTGCAAAGAGCGCAGTCTTTCACGCCATGGTCGCCAGGTCGCGCGCTGCTTAGTGTATACGTATAATATATAGTGCTTGCATGATGTGATGTGTAAGCTGAGTGAATCCCCCCTGGTCAAGGAGTAGGGCCAGCCCCCGGCCAGCTGCTTCGCTTTGGATGCTGGGGTCGGTCGGTTGCTTGGAATCGCTGGGCCTGTCAAAAACACGGCACCCATCGTCTCCAACCAATCTGGAAGGAGGTGGGTATGGTGCTAGCCAGTCCGGTCCACCAAGACCACCAAACAACCAGCAAGCGCCATCTCTCCCCACAACCCCTCTCTCGGCCTGTGCCGTCCACGTGCTGACAGCCCAGGAGCTGCGCAGCACCCGAGGCCCCGCCGATGAAGAGCAGCGTGAGCACCTTGAGCGCCACGCTGATTCCTGCGTCGAACCGATCCGAGGGGTGAGGGGTCCGATTCCGGAGGGTGTCAGGCTTACAACGGTTTACACAGAGGGTAACACGCTTACAACGGTTTACTGTACAACGGTTTACAACCAAGAGACTCGAGAGGTTTTTTGAGAGCAGAACGTTCGGACCCTGGTCTGTGGTACATATGGCATGGGCGACAAAGGGCCGTTCAGCCTCTCTAGGGTTTACAACGGTTTACACCCATGATCACCATGGACCCAGGTGGGCATGGCCATGTCACCTGCCCTGAACCTCCGAATGCTCATCGAAGAGGAGTGGGACCTGTCGTTTGGGTGGAGGGTTTTGACCCGGAAGTTCATGGGATGTTCTGGGCACCCTAACCACCATGATTCGGCTAGAACAAAACGCGCCAGAGGTCCCTGGTGGATGCATCGGCTCGGCTTCATGGCTCGTGCTCCTTTTGGCGGAATCAGCCTGGCATGGCATCATTGGACCATCACCTTTCGTTGGGTCCAACGGTGCCATTGGGCGCGTATAGCCGTAGCCCCAGCACAGGCGCTCAACTAACCCCCCGCGATCCCCCGCGCAATCTGCAGAGATACCATAAAAGGACAGAACACCACGCCCAATATAGTCATAATTAAGACTGGCTTTAGACGTTGCCAAGGCTCCCATGCCCCGTGCACAGAACTCCAAGAGCAAACAGCTCCCCAGCAAAGCCAAAGGTGCCATCGGAGTCCCCAGCGCGAAGACGTAGCGCACCTGAACCGCGTCGGCCACGCGACACTGGAGCGCCAAAAAGCTTTGGATCTCATGCCCCGTGAGCTGAAACGCTTCCATCCAGAAGACCAAATTGCCTCAGTCGCGGACGCATATGAGGTTGAAAGGTTCTCGTTAGGTGTGTTGTTCCTCGTTAGGTGCTCGGAAAGTAAAAACCGCAAAGAATACCTAAAAATAACACCATGAAAAATTAGTTTTTATCTGACCTGAAAAAAACATAAACACCGCGTAATGCAAAAGGAACACGGTTGGAGCACCTCACATCCCAAAGCGTCACCTCTTCCTCTATACCTTTCCATTTCCCTCCCCGATTCTTTTTGTGCTCCGCTTCTGAAACCATCCACGCCACCCTCTGGCTGCTCAGAAGGGCTAGTGACGTTAAGGTCCACCAGCTCCCTCTCTGGCTGCGCCAAGCGCGCCAGCACTGCCCAAAGCTGCACCAGCTGCAACAGGGCAGCCAGTTGTGACTGCAGCAACTGCAAGGCACATTTGGAGCGAAGGCTTAGAGCCAAGCCTTTCCTGTCCAGGTCTGAAAGTCTCAACCGGATTGGCAAACCGTTGCTGCAAATAGGCTTTTAGAGGGGCCGGTTAGTTCTCACTTTTTGGATGAAAACCCAAAACGCCCTAGTTGAAACAACGAAGCAAATTAGCTCAGAGTGAATGGAATGCGGGATTCGTGCATGCTGCAGTTCGTGGTGCATGTTCTTTCTCCTTGGTGGATGCTGTAGGGTGTCCCATGCCTAATGCATGTTAGTACATGGATGCACCTGAAGGTGTATGCCAGGGCCACCACCGCAAGTGTGAGCACCATCGTGCACCCCAAGAGAGTGAGGATGGTCCGCATGCTCAGCATGTCGCGGCATGGCAAACACTTCTGGTTCCTTTCGTGGTAGCTAGCTGCGCAGTCCGTGCAAAGGGGGGCCAGTGTATCCTGCAGCTTCGGAAAGCTGGTTGCAACATGTTGCAACTGTAGATGGAGGCTGAGGAATGGCTTTGGAGAGAACTACTACGATTTAAGGCGTGCGAAACTTGACCAACTCTTCAGAACTTGCAACACAACCTGAACCAGTGCAACAAGCAAGTCCCTTTCTAGAACATACTAGAAAAAGCCCATTTCACTTAGAACGCACTCAGTGATCTCAGTGTACAATCTTTATCAATGTTTTAATGCACCACCTTATGGAAAAATCACCTCGTGGGGATCCTGAAGCTGCAGATCACCGCCAGGTCCTGGCCTCCAATGGTGGTTCAGCAGGTGCTCCAGCAGTTCCAGGTCACTAAACTTGGAGGGAAGAGGTGAAAATGCCACTCAACCGCTCACTGGGGACTCTAAAAATAGACGACATGGAACTGCTGGCTGGCACTCTCGCTTTCGACTCATGGAAGTGGACCACCCCGTCTTGGTAAAGGACAAAAAGTCTTCCACAGGGCCATGCCATCCACTTCCATGATTGTTGGAGGGGGGAGTCGTCCCTCGTCATCTTTTCAGACCTGTCCTGCTGCACAGCCGTCCTCCCTGCACCGCCTTGCCTCAAGGCACCTAAATGCCACCTCTGCCCTGTCGTGGAGTCGAGCATGGCCCACCTTCACGGGCGCAGTGGCTGCGATGCTGCCAGGAGAGGAGCAGTTCAAGTGAAGTTGATCGCAGGGAATGCAATTGTCCTCGCAGGGGAGCTATGGGGAGCTTCTGGCAGTTCTGACTACGACAGTTCATCGCCGCGAAACCCCAAAAAGGCGCCCCCACTCGAGGTCGGTGAGAAAAAGGTCGGTGTGATGTTTCTCTGTGCTTTGAGGGGCTCCAAAAAAACGACACATCCAAACTGTCTGATGGGTAGGGCCTTTGTCTGGTCCAAACTCACTCAACAGGGTGAGCTGTTTCTCTTGTCCCCAGTCCTCACGTAGCGCCTTGCTCGCAGGGCATTGGCAGCTGAGATTGCCAGCTTCATTCTGGATGAAGCCAAAATCACATTCGCAGGCTTCAAAGGATTTGGAAGCTTTGCGAGAATGGCTGCGTGAAGGGCATCTTTCGCAAATACTTTGATTCCACTCATCATTGAAGGTGTCTTGGAGGCAAGGCGAGCAGTTGGTGGCCGTCCCCGAAAATCCAGGGCTGCAGCCGCACATGTCATCTGGTAGAAAAAGCTCCGGCGTCACTTTCAACCTGGATTCGGTCAAATCTCTGCAGCCGAAGGGTCCTGTCTTCAGCCTCCACGTCTTTTGCAACTCCAAACCATTGCCCAGCAACTCGCGCACCTCCGCTCTGTTCGCAAGCTGGGTATTGGCCAGACCCACCTCGATGCTGTGTTCCAACGCCTCCACCAAGGCAGCTTTGCTGACCGTCATGACCTGTGAGTTGTCCCCAACATCCACCCGTAAGGCTGCAGGAAGGGTGTCCATCTCTGATAGGCCGTTCCCCGAAATGTCCAGCAGTTGAAGGGAGCCCGACAAGACACTACGCCACATGGAGTGCCACTGATGATCCACCTGAACCAATGGCAAAGCCCTAAGGTTCGGCACTGGGCCCCGCAAACCGCACCGCGCCGCAGCGATCCGCGTGATGGGATTGGCTGCGAGAGGCAGCAGCAACTGCTCCACGGTGCCATTCAAGGGGCAGCCGCTGACCTGATGTGGCGGAGCCGGAGCAGTGAGTCATCAGTCTCTTTAGACTCAGCCTCCAACCATCCCGATTTTGGATGACGCATTTCCTCTACAAACAAGTGGTTTCCACTCCCAGGCAACCACGATTCTTTCAAGGAGCCTACAAGACTTGCATGCAATCGCACGCACATGCCTCCTCCCATTCACGCATAAGTACCACACCATGATCAAAATACAGCCAAGTTAGGTTGGAGGCCATAGCTATGAGGGTGGAGGCCATCGCACGCTCTCTCTCTCTCTCTCACTCACTCACTCACTCTGCAACACAACTTCCGACACGAGTCCCGTCTTGCACCAACGACTGTTCGACTATCCCATGTACATAGGTACTCGAACCACATTCGAACCACCCTTATTTTTAGAGAATTGGCAGGCTGTGGGAGTGCACTTTTTTAGAAGATTGAATGTGATTGAAGATATGTATGCACTAGTTTGGTGCCAAGTTGCTTTTGAGTCTGGCCCTCTTGTGATGGCAGAGATAGAAGGTTTAAAAATGATCATGTCCTTTATATGGCATTTTCCCTTTTATGATTCCCTTTCATTTGTCCTTTTAAATTGAACAATTCCTTTCATTTTCCCTTTTAAACATGATTCATTCCTTCCATATTTCATTGTCCCTTTTATGAACCCCTTTCAACCTGCAATGTGTATAATTTCCTTCAGTTTTCCTTTTAAATATGATTAATATCTGTATGTTGTGCTTAGAAGTGATTATTTCCTGTTATTTTCCTTTCAAAAATGATCTATTCCTGTCATTCATCCTTTGCAAATAATTAATTCCTGTCAGTTCCTTTAAAAATGATCATTGCCGTTTATATTTCAGTTTTCCCTTTTATGATTCCCTCTCATTTTTCCTCTTAGATTTAACAATTCCTTCAATTCCTCTAATTTTCCCTTTTAAGAATGAGTCATTCCTTCCATATTTAATTTTCCCTTTTATGAATCTCTTTCAACCTGCACTTGGTATAAATTCCTTAAGTTATCCTTTTAAATATGCTTAATTGTTTTCATGTTCCCTCTAAAATTGATTTATATATATATAGAGATTTATTTATGTATGTATGTATTTTGTTCTTAAAAGTGCTTATTTCCTGTTATTTTCCTTTTGAAAATGATCTATTCCGTTCATTCATCCTTTGCAAATGATTAATGCCTGCCGTTTTCCCTTTAAAAAGTGATCATGCCCTTTCATATTCAACAGAAATTAATCATTGCCAAAGGGAAATGAACGGAATTGATCATTTTCAAAAGGCAATGTTAAAAGAACATAGAATAAGAAAGAATTGTTTAAAATAAAATGAAAGGAATTCATCATTATTAAAGGGAAATAGAAATCACAAACATTAATCAGTTCCAAAATGAATTCACACCAAAATAATCATTGTTAAAAGGACAACAACAGGATACAAGTTTTAAACATAGATTAATGTTCATAAAGGGAAATCATGATATTTAAAAGGAAAAACCAGGAACCAATCATTCTGAAAAGGAAATTACCGGAAATAACATGTTTAAAAAGGAAACAAGTTGAACACAATTAGTGTTTAACATGAAAAAATCAATACAAAAAAAGAATACATAATCATTTAAAACTGGAAAATAAATGAACAAACAATCCCTTAATTGAAAATAAGCATGTTTAGAAGAGCAATGCAAATAACTAATCATTCTTCAAAGGAAACAAAAAGACAAATAATCATGTTAAAAAGGAACTGCACACCCTATGTCTGAAGTCTTGGGATGGTTCATGGGGTCCGCAGTTTTGTGTTTTTTCCGGAACCTCGAGAAACCAAAAAAAATATGCAGAGAGTCTTGGCCGGGACCCCCCCCCCTCCAGAGAGTCTGGGAATATTGGTGTGTTTGTTTTGTTTGTGTTTTTTTTTCGATGTGTTTGGCCTCCCTCGTTCCAAGAGTCTGCAAATATTGCCTTGCCTGCTACCAGGTTCAGGTGACCCAAATGATCATGCATATGGGAGTGCAGCTTATGTAGTAAAATCTAGGCCTATTGCTAAGAACGTGAAAAACTGCAGTCCCAGCAACTGCCGTTCTGTTATTTTTTAATAGCCTTTAAACGAACAACCCTTCTTTTAAACTACGTACAGTAGGGACTTTACACTACTAAACCAGATCAACCCTTTGAAATGGTGATGGGATCCCACCCTGGACCGGATGGACCGACCAACGGCTCCTATTTTTGCGCGTGGATACGTTTTGAGACCGGAACCTTCGGACCCTGGTCTGTGGTACATCTGGGCGACAAAGGGTTCAACCTCTCAACTGGTACCTCGCTTGGAAGGACGTCTCGTCTCGTGTCTGTGTCCGGTGCTCCACCGAGCTTGAGCATGGGGTGTGGGTCAATGGCGGGGCACCGATCGAAGCGATTCCTCCAGCGCAGCACCCGACTCGATAGGTCTCCGACATGGAGGCTGAAATGGTGGTGACCTGTGAAGTCGGGTGCTGGTTTTTCAGGGATGTCAACCGAAACCGTGGTTTGGTGGGTACAGCGCAAGCTTGACCCGCATAGTAGTGTAGAGCAAAGCAACGGAAGTCTCCACTGAGCCTCCCCACATTGAGAAACTGCAAAGCAGGAAGCATCTCAGCACGTGACAGGGCTACAGTCTGGGGAAGATCTGGAAGAGGCCCTGCCAGACTGTCCTTACTACGGCAGCGGCGAAGGCCCAAAGTCATGGATGAATCACTCAACCCACACACAGAGGGAAAAGCAAAACGCACCACCAGTACGGGTTCTGCTTCTAAGGGAAGCAGAACCATTGTTGCTCCGACCATGTTTGATCCGTGCTTGATCCGGAGGCCCGGGCTGTTAAAGCAGGCAAGTAGCTGCCAGATTTGCCTCTCGAAGGTTCATATACCTGCGCCCCCCTTTCTGAAGAAACCAACCGGAGATCAGAGTGCTGGAGAGGTCTATGGTCCTCAAAGCCGGCAGATCGATCGAAGAGAGAGATCCCAAGGTGCCAAGGATCCAGGTCTTGGAGAGAAGAAGTCGTTCAAGTCCCTTCATCATATGGAGTTCATGGATATATCCGGAGATGTTGGTCTTCGTGAGGTTCAAGGTCCCCATGCCGGACATCCTCCGTAGAGCGCTCAGTGTGCCAAGGACCTGCGTTTCTCCCAGAGATAACGTGGTCAAGTTCATCATCTGCTCCTTGGATAGAGAAAAAGGAATCGGAAGGGGATTCACCCCATACCCAGACCATCCCAAGTATGGAAATGTCTGACCTCCATTCACCCTGAAAACATCTCGAAAGCACCCGCAATGTATTGGTAAAAAAAAGCCCTCCGGAACTTAGAAAAAATGAAACAATTAAACTTATACACTCGAAGCAAGAACCAGGGCTCCAGTGAAGTCAGAGTTCCAGAGATCTGGGTGCCACCCAGATCTAACCTCGCAAGCAAGAGAAGTTGGGACAACACATGGCTTCACCCACTGGTCAGTGATCAGGATGGAAAATGCAGGTGAAATGCTTCATACATCATACATCAAGGGGACACACGAACCATTGAAGAGGAGGGATGCCCACGAGTAGGGTTCTGTATGCAAGAAAGGTGGCCCCTTTGCCGGATTGGGGCATCTTTGAGGCACAGCCTGAAGTACTAACAGGCAGCTTGACCAGGCTCGTGAGGTCCTCGAGGGCTGCTAAGGTGCCAGAGACCTCAGTGTCCCTAAGGAAGAGGGTTTCGAGGCCAGTGATTCTGGACAGCGGCGCCAAGCTGCCAGAGACCTTCGTCCAACTGAGGTAGAGTCTTTCCAAATCTCTCATCGTCTCAAGGGCACTCAGATTTCCAGAGATTTGCGTGCTTCTGAGATAGAGCCTCTTCAGGCCCGTCATCTTCTTGAGGGATGTGAGCTCTCCAGAGACCTTGGTGCGATCCAGATCTAACCACTCAAGTCTGGCAGATTCTAAGGACTTCAGATCGCCAGAGACCTCCGGATGGTCCAGGTAGAGTTCCTTGAGCTTGGTCAGGTACTCTAGAGAGGCCAGCTTTCCAGAGACCTGCGTCTGTCGCAAGTCCACCTTCTCAAGCTTGGACAAGTTCCTCAGGGAGCTCAGGTCGCCCGTCACGCGGGTCCAACTGAGGTCCACCTCGCGCAGCTCGGGGAAGCGCCTCAAGAAAGACAGGTCTCCCTGGATAGACTCCGCACTGGCTCCACTCCTGCCGATCTTCACCACACCGCACTTCTGGCACACGATGCCCGGTAAGGAACATAAGGGCACATCCGAGCCCCCTTTCAGCTGCAAGAAGTCCTGCACAGCCTGGAAGAGCTCCGGGTCCTCAACACCTCAGAGCAGCTTGACGGCCTGGAATGGCCTGGAAGACCTGGTGTCCATCTGCAAGAGATGGACCGCTCGATTGATCTGATCTACAGTGTATATATATATATATATAGATAATGTATAACACAATTATGCAACTATATATCACTATATATATATATTATAACATATATATATATATATGTCATTATGTATAAAATCTAAATAGCATTCCGGGTAGTCAAACAATACAAATCCAATTTCAGTCCAGCCTCTCAGACCGTGCCAGCACCAAAACGCTCCAAAACGACCCGCCCAGTCGACCCCCCGGCCCTGTGACACTTTCAAGGGACTCGGCTTCGCCAAGGGACAGCGGACAGCCGCTGCTTTCCTTTTCAACAATCGGCCCAGGTTCTTGGGCGCAGGTGGCCGGAGCTCCTCCTTGGCGAACGAACGAGGAATCCCAAAACAATGCCGGTACTGCCTCGAAACGAAAGGGTTGCGAGGCCCCCTTTGGGTCTTCATGCATCAAGAATCAGCCCGAACAGCCCCCATACGCCTGTCTTTTCGTTTGGAACTCTGTCACGGCGGGTGGACTAGCATCTTGACAAGCTTGAAAAAACATCCCTCTCGGTTGGTGACTGGGCCATGCATGGATTGTCTCAAAGCGGCTGTCTTTGGGAACCAAGCTGCAGTGGAAAGACGACAGTGGCTGGTGGAGAGTGAACCGGGGGTATCAAGACGATAAAGTTTCAGCTTGGCTGGAGGGGAAACCCCGCATGGACCATAACAATAGATCGATTTGTGTTGTTCTTCCGCCGCCGGCGACGCTGATAGAATTTCATATAGCAGCTTGATTGACCACATCTTTATGATCTTTATGGAGCCAATCACTCAAGAGGCGAACCGTGAGACCCGTCAGGCCCTGTTTTCCCTCTTCAACCCATCCCCCTCTTCCATCCACAACGTCCTAGTAGGACTCTCGCCAAGTAGTATTCTCATGGCATCGTCTAGTTCAGGTAGTTCTGGGGTGAATGAAAAACCGATCAAAGAGCCAAACCGACGGTGAAACAACAAAAAAACGAACGTGGCTTGGACATGCTAGACGCACCACTTCTTCCAGACCACCCCCGGCCCTCGGCCCTGGACCCAGCCCAGCCGCGTCGGTCAAGTCTGCCCAAATCTCCGGACGCACCGCTAGTGTGAACTGCACCAAGTGCACCAAGTGGAGGCTCCAAATGATGGAAGAAGCTGGCAAACCATACAGCATTGGGACGAGCCCCCCAAGAAGGCTCCACCCGGCATGCAGCAAGTCTCTCAACGTGGTCAACGTCATGCTCGGACAAGAGTCTTCCCCAAAAGGCAAAAAAATCATGGACAAAATAACAAAAGCACAAATACCTGTGCTCCCTTTTCCTCGGGGCCGGTGGCAGATCATATACCATGTAGGAATCATGTGACGGATCTGCCGCATCACATCCCTACACCCCAATGCTTCAAGAGAAGCCCCATCCCTGTGAGGAACATCACGCCGCATGAATCAGGAGCGGAACATCGCGCCAACTTCCAGCAACCCCCAAACCCAACCGCCAAGAACCAACGACCAGCAATCCGCTGCGTGTTTCTCGCTCCCAACTGGTTCTCCGCCCTCTGTTCTCGCTCACGCATGCTCATCCCTCATCCCTCTGACTGGGGCACTGCTGGTAGGTGAAGTTGAAATCCTTCACCTCCATCTGCTGGGGAGCCACCACCGAGATCCACACTTTCTGGTAGCCCTTGGAGCCCAGGCCCTGGCGGTCCAAAGGCAAGAAGGATGAGATGGGCGTCGAAGGATTGAATTTTTGTCGGCACAAATGCTGAGACCATGGATTACCAATCGGACCATTCGGAAAAAGCCATGAATCGCTGACCTAAGATGCTGAGCTCGTAACATGCTCAGTGGCAGCTTCTTGCACTGAAATGACCTTCTTCTTGGCAGGTGCGGTACTTTGTGGACCTTGAAATGCACATTTCGTGGCAGGTGCAGGACTTTGTGGATGTTGAAGTGCGGATTTCGTGGCAGGTGCAGGACTTTGTGGATGTTGAAGTGCAGATTTGGTGGCAGGTGCAGGACTTTGTGGGACTTGGAGTGCAGATTTCGTGGCAGGCGCAGGACTTTGTAGACCTTGAAGTGCAGATTTTGTGGCAGGTGCAGTGCTTTGCGGGCCTTGAAGTGTAGATTTCGATTTCGTGGCAGGTGCAGGACTTTGTGGATGTTGAAGTGCAGATAGACAGATAGAAGGATAGACAGATAAATGGATAGATAGATAGATAGATGGATAGAAATAAAGAAAGATAGAAATAAAGATAGAAATAAAGATAGAAAGATAGATAGATCGAGAGATAGAGAGATAGATCGATAGACAGACAGATAGATAAATAGATATAGACAGATAGATATAGACAGACAAATGGATAGGTAGACAGATTTGCATTGGAATAGTGTAGGTGTCAGAGAAATTTCTGCCTATCACAACAGTTTGGTGCAGTTACGTAGCAGAAAAGCAAAGAGAAAGATTTCGTGGCAGGCGCGGGTGGCGGAGATGAAGTGCAGATTTCGTGGCGCGGGGGGGGTTGGGGGGGGCCCAGCGCCCCCCCCAGCAGCACACCACATCCCAAGGTGAGCAGCTCGTGCTTGCTTGCTTGCTTGCTTGCTTCTTCTCTGCAAAGCGAATAAAAGGAAAAGCAAAAGAAAAAAAGAAAGGAGAACAGCTGCGAAAGAGGAAGAAAGAAAGAAAGATAGATAGATCGAGAGATAGATAGATAGATCGATAGACAGACAAACAAACAGATAGATATAGTAGATAGATATAGACACATAGATGGATAAGCCACGAAAGCCACGAAAGCCAAGAGCCACAGAAGCCACGAAAGCCACGAAAGCCCAAAGCCACAGAAGCCACAGAAGCCACGAAAGCCAAAAGCCACAAAAGCCAGAAGCCACAGAAGCCAGAAGCCACGAAAAACCAAAAAAAAAAAAAACTAAATTAACTGGCCCTCCGTGGGAAACCAGCTGCTTACAAGCTGCTTACAAGCCGTGCTTGCTACAATCAGTTTTGCGCACCGTTCGTTCCTTCAAATTCCTGGCCCGATGTTGGACCCCCGTCCCAAGCCTTTTACGAAGGGATGGTTGCAGGGTGAAAAGCCAGGTCAACCCTTTCTTGTGGTCCAACGGAAGGTTTTGAAGTTGGCATTCGCCCAAAAAGTCCAGCCCCGAGCCCGCCCACGACCGAAGCACGGAGCAGGGGGGCTTCACCCTTCGGAGCGGCCTCTGTGACTGTGACGCTTGGTGGGTGATCCCCGCAGCTCGAGACGCTGCAGGCTCCTGATGGTATGTCAACCTACCCAGTTTTGAAGAGGCTTTACAATCCCAAGAAGGGTGGATAGAGCTCGAGAAATATATATCCAGAACCTGGATGAACAAAAACATAACACAAAACATCAAAAAAACAACAATACATTGGGATTACATTGGGATGGTGGTAAAACCTCATTATGGGTGGGTTCACATCTCATCAATATCAAGAGTCCTCATGACCTGTTCGACCTCACACGGGCTGAACAACGCCGGATCCGCCTTGGCCACGCGGACATCGAGTGCCTGGTCGTGAGTGAATTGAAATCGATATACTGTATATAAACATGGAAGAGACCTGCAACTACTGTAAAAGGGACCTCAGGTATTCAAAGTAGACCCTAAGTAGTTGAGGGTATGATAGAAGACGAAGCTGACCCAACTTGAATCACCATAAAAGAAAAGAGGTGCAAACCGAGCAGCATTGGCATCAACGAGCCTGCAAAAGGGAACCCGGACCTCCCTACGAATCCAAAGCCCTCCGTACTTGGAACTCCCACTTCAAGCAGTCCGTCAAGCCACCATGAACTTCGAGAAGTGGATGGTCGTTCTTCCTCTCTGCCGGTGTTCGCCCCCATGGTCCATCGCGACCGGTCGCCTCTGGGCGCCTTGCCTCCCCAAAACCGCTGATCAAAGAAGGAGTACTGTCCCCCCCGTTCTGCCATGTTCTACCACAACCCCACGCATCACTCGCCCACTCACAGGCTGCCCCCCGTGGGGGTGCCCAAGAACCGCCCGTGTTCTTCACCCCGCGCCTGTGCGGTGGGCTGGGCCCACAGGTCATGCAGCCAGGGCTCGAAGACGCCGGTGCCCGGGCGCGCCTCGCCGGCGCCCAGCCATGGGAGGCCTGGGCGCCCCGGTGAGGGCAAGGGACCGGAGCGGGAGGGCCTGGTGAGGTCGAGTGAGGGTCCCGGTCCCGACGTGAGTCGTGCGGTTCCAAATGGATATGTCGACGAGAGCGAGGTCTGGTGGTCCTGAAATGGTCCAAGTTTACATCAAGGTGAATTCACCTATGGATGGGGACTCCTCATGAATGGGATCCTTAGAACCTCCACCAAAGCCAAAGCATTGATGCTAGACTTCAAGCAAACAAGCTGTGCAAACAAGCATGGAAAGCCTGCCGTTGATCATACTTTAGATATCTTTGAGGTTGGGTTGTTTCTACACCACTCCTATGACATCATTGAGTGTTTTGTCCAAAACACAGCATTCCTCTTGTTGTACAACTGCAAGCACCAAAAATGCAAAAATTGATGAAAATGGAGCAATCTGGATCGTGTCACGAAATGTTCACTCATTATCTTCAAAAAGGTTCAAACATCGTCATCTGCAACAGCGCCGGACATGGAAAGCCGATGAATTCCGTGTTAGTTCTGGGGAGGAACAAGTCGACTTGGATGGGTCCTTTGAGTTCTACGGGGCGCAGTTATGACAGTGGAGTTGTGGCAAATGAAACCACAAACAAATGACATTCAGGATGTTCAGGCAGGTGTCCTTTTCAATCCCTTGAACATGGAAAATCATGGAACATCTGCACTGCGCTCCGTCCCCTTGTTCTGGTGAACTCTAGAGTATCTCCTCGCCGGCTCCGGCACCGGACCAAAGCATTTCTCTGGTTGACCCATCGTTTCTGTTCCACATGGTTGACTGGGATGCTTGGCACCAAACACTTGTTCACTCAACTTGATTCAACATGGACTCCCTCCAGAAGTCCCCACCACCAGCTGCCGCGGGGCAAAGGAGCACCGAGAATTTCATCGCTGTCCCGAGCCAACGCTCGACGCTGCGAGGCCAACGGCTGGACGGTGCGAGAAAGGGAGAATCCAGGAATCAGGGAGTGGTACATGCCGACCTGGCGGAATGACCCAATATCACACATCTTCTTCTGTGGGATGCTGTGGGATGCTGCTTGAGGACTTTTTTTGCGAAAGAAACAAATTGAAACTGCAACGAGTATGCCGAGAATCTGAGAACTGGAAGGAGTATTGCCCATGCTTTCTCTATCTTCATGGAGCTGAACCACATCAAACACCTTTGGGGTATAGTATGATATTAAATATAATTAACTAGAATCGATCGCAGGGTTCCATCCTTCACCTGCGGTTTTTGGACCCCTGTCATGGTGTTCGCTCCCACCGTGCCAGCACAAAGCACAGCACAAAGCACACCTGTTCCCCGTCCTTTCGCCGGGTCGGGTCGATCCCTGGGACTCGGTCCGAAGGGGGTCGGATGGGATGGGCGGCACGGAAGCAAGCCGTGTCAGGCTTGCAACGGCAAGTTGATGGGGACCCAGGGGTCCGCTTTTGTGACGAATCCGCCATGTTCAAGGATGAAAGGTGATACGTCTCTTGATTCATACAACTTCCCCATTTGGGATTGATTGTGAAACCACTTCCGATGTAAGTTTTACTGATCACGAGTCTATATAGTCTATGACCTGCTCAGCGTCCCTGCAAATACAGGTTAACCGCCGTTCACCGTTTTCCATCTGTTCATCATTGTTCATCCATCTCTTCTGTGCGGTGTCCCCGGTGTCCCTCCAAAAAGATCTCAAAAAGTGACCTGCAGGTGATCCCCAAGCTACTCCTGGGTAGGGACAGAACTGGAGCTTGTCACTCTCCCCACAGGCCTCCGGTATGAACCAAGAGATCCGCCGGGGGCATCGTGAATTTCTGGCGCCAAGGGGGGGGGCGGTGTTGGGGGTCTAAGCAGAATTTTAAAAAATCAGAGCCCGCTCAAAAGGATCTGATAGGTTATTCAGTCACTAGTGTGCAATCTTGATGAGTTATATAAAACCCCCCTCATTTGGATTCAAAAAAACCTCTTCGGATGGGCGGCTTTGATTCATCAGCAAGATGTACATTAGGCATCATTAAGCTAAAATGATTAAAATTGCCTCCCTGATCCTTTTTCACTCTGGGCAGCTGCGCGAGAAATCTCGGAGTCTACATGAGGTCTACGTGTCCCCTGCTTCGGGGAAGAGTGTCCGGACCCCTCCAAGCTCCAGAGATGTTTGGTTTTAAAAAAAGGGAATATATATATATATATACAACCCTGGCACTTCCAATGGGTGTTAAACGGAGACCTAGGGCCTAGGGCCTAGGGGCCTAGGGTCGTAGGCTTGTCCAGCCAGGGGTACCCGCTGGACCGTCCAATCTGTTCACCGGTGTTTTGAGGCAAAGGTGACCTCCCGATCGGACGTGCAGGGTCAGTTGATTAAGGTACACCCCAAAACATGAGGCGGTCCAACCTCACTTGGGTGTGTAACAAATGATCCGGATCAGGGAGAACATGGGAGAACTGGCCACGACCCGGCTGGAAGAAGACCAGTCTACCCAGCCGGCGCCAGGGTGTCTCATGGTGTCTCCCGATTGGCTCCAGAATCTGTCTCCATTCGATGTCACTGACCGTCAGCGCGAGTGGAAGCGATCAAGCATCGTCAGAGAGGGAGGAGGCGTTTGAGTGTCATCTTGGAGGGCATCAAGGTATCATCACGAAGGAGACGGACCCCTTCGAACCGCTGGAGAAAATGGAAGGGTTGAACGGTTGAACAGCCCTTTGTTGCCCATCCCATATGTACCACAGACCAGGGTCCGAACGTTCGGGTCTCAAAAAACCTCTCTTGGTTGGCTTGGAGGCCTAAGAGTGGGGTCCCCCCAGGTCCGCCCGAGTCTCGGCCGCTCCAGTGCTCTCGGAGCATGCCCCCTAGCATGTGGACAGGCCATGCGGCCCCCAGCATGTGGACGGTAGACGTCATGACTCATAAGCCAAAGGTGTATGGGAAAATGGCCCCGATTTCGGGAGATGTGTCTTTCCGAATGCCAAGAGGGGGGGGGGGCGAAACCCACTTCCATGGTTTGTTGCAGGGAGGGTGCGGTGGTTTCAGAGGTTCGATGGCACCATCCCCAAGGTTGGTGGTGAAAATATCGACCCTCTGTCTAAGACATGTAGGGGCCGTTCCTCACCTCTGACACCACTGTTCATCTTTCCGATCTCGTATTCTCACCATCCTTCACCCGGTCGACCAGTCTGACCCTTGCGCGTATCGCCTGCGATTTCAGACCGCGGCGAGCACGCGTATGGCCCCCGCCACGCGGCTCGCCGCGGTTCCTCGTGGCCCACGGTCCGCGGCGTTCCACTGGTGCCTTCGCCATCTGACGGTGCAGGCCATGAGTATCGCTGATGTGCAGAATCGACACCTTGGCGAGGGCGGAGAGTCTCGGGTGGTGGCAGGAGAGAACGGTACGGATGGCGGTGAACGTACAAAGGACGTGGCGCAACTCCAAGGTGGTCAATTGAAGCAAATGAAGGTATAAGACATCTCCTGGTGTTAAAGTCCACTACTGTCCAACAATGGAAGCGGAACATTCAGTGCCTTGATTGAGTTTGCAATTTCCAGCTGCTATTGCTAATTAATGAGGATTGGATATGAATATGGTAATATAACTATGAAATTCTAGTGACTTGTGAGAATCACATGAGGGTCCAAATATGCCAATTGTTTGACAGTGACATACGGTGACTCTGGCACAAAATGGCACACACGAATCATCACATGCAAGGACAAACATAGGGCACCACCACCACCAGCACCTCCACTGCCTCTCTGAAATGGTGGGCCATTTCAAGCAGACTTGATCTGTTGGCAGGTGGTGACGTGTTGGAAGGTGCTACCTGGTACCTATGTGATGATCTTCGGATTGACCCATCCTCGCGCCAAGCGCGACGATCTTGGCTCGCTGAAGCGTGCTGCCCAGCGGCGACGCACTGGCCACCCGGCGGAGGCTTCTGCAGTTCCTGGGGCTTCTAATAGCGAGCGTCCTTGTTAGTAGGCCTCCAACCTAGTAGCGACGGCCTGCACCCAGTAGCTTCGTGCTACAAGCTACTCTTGCCAGGATGGGAACGTGCTCCAAGAAGCACTCCAGTAGGTGGAGACTTAGTGGAGGCCATCGGCGCCTCTACCCTCCAAAAAGCACCCCCATGGGCGAACTCCTGGTGGAAGAAACTCCGTGTGTAGATAAATCAATGGATGAGAAGACCGTCATCAAGCTCAATTAGCCACACCTGTTGGATCCTGTTGACATGCTTCACAGGAATCGAGTGGTTAATCTATGCTCCACCTGCTTACACTTGGGCACAAACTGCGTTTTCCCTTCATACTGGGGAGTCACCCCTGAAGATTGACTGCTTTCGTGCTGAATTCTCATGTTCCCTTGCTTCCTTGCTTCCTTGCTTCAGCATGCCTAGCACCGCAGGGAATTTGATGACAAGTTCGTACAAGTTCTGACTGTGCTTCAAACAGTTCACGCTGCAAAACTCAACTGCATCATGCGGCTCGTTTCAACAGAACCACTGGTTGTAGGCAAGTAGAAGGTCGCCGAAGCTGTCTACCACAGCGAAGACGACGACCGATGCTTGAGTCCGTGAACCGGGCCAACGGGGCCATATTCTGCTTGAGATCCTAGAGAAGTTGAACAGCCCTTTGTCGCCCATCCATATGTACCACAGACCAGGGTCCTAGTTCTGGTCTCTCAACCTCTCTTGGATGCTCCAAAAGGAGATCTAAAAGCTTTTCATCACACCAGATCTACTTTTCGCACGATAAAATCCATCTCAAGACCCCCTGACATTCTCCAAGCAATCCAGCCGTTGCCGTGGCGGACCGCCCAAAACAGGGCGGGAGTGCACTAAGAAAGGACTCTGTGTAGGCTTATATGTTGTCTCCGGCGATCCTTTCCGTTGCACGTGCCATGGCAATGCTCCTGAGAAAAAACACGCCTCGGCCTACAAGACTGGAAGACCAGAAGCGCCCCCAGCTAGATCTACACATGAAGTGACTGCCCTCATGGTTGGTTGGCAAAGGGCGGAGCAGTAAATGCTCGCAGAGGTAAAGATTTTGGTTGGGGGCATCCAACCCACTTGCCTTAGAGAAACATGAACCGGAGCTGCACTGACCCTAAAAGGACCCGACAAAGCGTGTGCTTCAGCTCAGCATCATTGCAGTGCCATCCAGCTGCCGAAGCATTCTGGGTAGTCGGGAGGACGCCTGACAACGCTTGCGATTCATTGACCAAATGGCAGGTGCTCGGACACGCCCTGGAACTCCAAGACATCTTGGGAATTTCTGAGGCCAAGTCCTCACATGGAGATGGACCATGATGCACCCAGGCTTTTTGGTCACGGAAAATTCAACCTTCTGGGTCCTCGAGGGGGCTGGCGCCTCAGTTCGACCATCGGCTTCTTTACCATTCTTCACCATCCGCAGAAGGCACCCCATTCTCCCGGCCCATCCCGGTTGGCCTCTTCGCCTTTGCCATGCTGGGTTCGGGGGCCACTTTCTTGACCCAAGGAGGACCAAAAAATAATCTGCATGGAACAAAACACAGCATACCGTCATACCATAATAATAAATAGAAACGGTCTCCAATATAACTCTGAGCGGGGATAATATGGGGATCGATCACCGTTCACGGTGTGAAAGATCGTCCAAATGTCACAGACTGGGTCCCAGCTCTCCGTCTCCTCCGGTACATCGCCAACAGTGCCTGGCGGTTGCATCGCCAACGAAGTCACTGCCTGGCCCAAAGCAGCTGGGCCACATGGAGATGAATGTTGGGTCCGGTGTCAACTTCGGATAGAAGCCGAATCATGTAGTTTCGGCTTGATTGATAAAGTCACCCCCATTTGGATTGCAAAAACCTCGACTCACGAGGTTTTTGAGTTGACATATAGTCAAGAGTCAAGAGTCTACATTAAGC